TCTCTCTCTCTCTCTCTGTTCATTGTTGAATACTCTGCAGTGATGATGTGGGGGTGGAGTGGAGTGGAGGCTACCCTCATCTTCAGTAAACAATAGGTCTTTGTGTATTTGACCCCCTCTTTAGCAGAGAGGAGTCCATGGCTAGGGCTGAAGCTGAGATGGATTTCCATCTTCGCCACATTTAGTTGGTAGAAACACTCTCAAAAAAGCCAGTATTAGGAGGGTCATACCTCTGGGGCTATTTGTTCTTATTTACAATCACATCAATAATCAATTATCATTCTCTCCTTTTTTTTCTCTAGCTGTGGTGGCCCTCATTGATTGTCTATACTTGCTGTACCACATGATACCGCCCCCTTGGCTGGGTGACTGATTACTAACCTATATTTGAGTGGGATTAGCCCCAATGGTGCTGCTAAGTCATTAAAACGTAGTTGACAATGATTTATTTGTCCTTTGACCTTATCTTTTGTTCTATAATTTTGGTTATAAAATCTAAAATGAAGACAAATTACCTTTCATAGTAGTAAAAACACTTCTAACTTGTATGTCATTTATATTCACTAAATCTCCCTTCAGCCGCTTGATAGCCGCTTGATTGCCACTTCTAGTGAACAAAATTCTTTTAATTAAATCCACATTATTTGGGACATTACGAGACTGCGTGTTAGTTCCTGTTAGAGAAAGGTTTTGTTATCTCCAATCTCATCTTACAAGACATCCGATAACCTTTAATCATCCTCTTCGCGTGACCCACCCTTTTTGCGGAGGTGTGCTGCGGGTATTTCAGCTTCCTTTTAGCATGTTGTGGAAAACCAGAATAACCTGCTTTGCACTAGATCACTTTACTTGTTCAGAGAAGTGCACGCAGTCACCTGACCAGCCTGACCCACCTGCCTTCTGCCTACTACTTGCTTTCAGTGAACACATATGCCAGCAAGAAATCCAGTCATGTCTAATATTAATAAAGGCCAATTTAATCTGTTAAATGAGAGAAAATCCAGGCTACAAAGAGGCTGACACATCCCCCACTGCTCCTCTTACTTGATTGGATCAAGAGAAAGGAAGCACTTGATCCTTACAATTGAATTATGTCAGTTAATCACTTTCTGAGTTAATGTCATTTCAGTGTTAATAATATTTACCGAGTAAAAGAAGGTAATCAGTCTTCCGTCCAATGTCAGAGGGAATTCGGTTGACAATCATGAAAATTGACCTCAAGATTATTTTGCCCGTGCCCCCGCATTGGAGTAAATTTGGCAAACATTGCATGTATTACAAGCAGGATTGAGAACAGATTTAGAGATTTATTTTAATATTTTACTTAAGCTTTAAAGCATGAGCTTTTTCCCCCCTGCTTTTCTGCTTTTCTGCTGACCTTGTTCAACCAGAAGATATTATCATTTTACACAAATGAGTCCCAACAAAATGACTGAAAGCACTAAAATATTATTATTTATAGTTACCAAGTCTTCTATATTTAAGTGATACTGCGTCCAAAACAAAACCGAGAGAATGTTTACCAATTATTATTATATCACTTACGTTGATATAACGTTATTCCCCCAGGGAATGGGAAGGTAATAACTTATTGATTTTACTAGTGTATAGAATCTGCAGTGACTTGCACTTTAAAGTTGAGTGCCAAAGAAAAAAACATTCATTCATTATGACAACTTAAGGTTTTATAAAATATGGTAACATCAACCTCCTGAGGTCGGTCTGGACAAGATAAACACTTTGCTTAATGGAGTCCTTATCAGCCGCATCCTGAAGTGAATGTACCAGTAGAGGGCTGTTAAAAGGCAGACAGATCACAATGCTCTACAAATTGGCCAATGGAAAATGACACCCGCATATTAATAAAGCTGATAACTACCAGGAATGATGTCGCCATCATCATCGTCCGAGGCAAAAACATGCACCTATCACTGTCTCAACAGTAACACGGTGCAGAATAATATGTGTTCAGTAAAATGGAGATTTTCTTAAAACCGAAGTGTCATACACTGGTTATAAGACACACCACAGTAACTTCACTGTTTAATAGACATTACATATATGCATTCATTTGCATGCTATAGTGTCAGACCAAATTGTAATAATTGTGCAAACAAGAGTAGGGTTTTTTTTTCAGCCACTGTAATTCACTTTAGTTCAGGACCTCATAGCGTGCTGCACCCTTCCCTCTCTTTGTGTTATTTCTGTCCAAAATGTCTTCTTCATTGATTTTATTCAAATGCATGTGACGTGCTGTACTAACCTCCTAAGCGATACAAAAGAGGATGAATCAGTCCTGCCAGCTTTCAGTATGAGGGAAGTGGATTTGATGCCTCTCCGTTAGTATCTGTGCCGCATGATAAGATCAGCCTGTGAGGAATTTGTTTCTATATGCTTGTAAAATATTTTTGTTGTTATGCATCAGGTTTTAACTGTATCTCTTCACGTTTGTCTTACAGAGGAAACTTCACAGTTCCGAAGTTATCAGAGTCTAATATGGGATTTGGTGTGCTGGGGGTGTTTCTGGGGCTGCTCCTAGAGGTCTCCACCCATGGACCCCATGCTGTGCCTCGAACGTCCTGGAGACACCAAGGTAAGGCTGAATGTATTATTGATTAATTCATTTTAGATATGTAAAAGATTTATCCATCGAATGTTAAGCATTTGACAGAAGAATTGTTTGCAGTTTTGATAAATCATCATTCTTTAGGTAAACAAAGCATTCATTAGATTTATTGCTGATAATAGAAACTACTACTACTACTACTACTACTACTACTATTAATATATAAAATATAATAGTGTTTTGTTCTTTTTTCTCAAATTAATCAATTGATAAATATATCAAGTTATCACATATTTCATATATTGGAATCTGAATAAACTTTTTTGGCCAAGATTTTCTACACATAAAAGGAATATGATGTTTTTTCATTGCTCTCAGTATTAGTAACAATTTACAGGCAGATAGAAATATACATAAAAACAAGAACACTATAATACTATAATATACATAGAAATATGTGAAAAAATAAGTAACATCCCTATACACCTGTGTGCTCTTTACGGTAAATTTAATTCTCAAGAATCTAAACTATTTCTGGTAAATGCTCTTTTGAAATCGCTGTGATTTAAACTAAAACTTTGCTTGAAGGCACTCAATTTGGGAAGTTGGTATTCACGAGTTTGCTTCATTTTCAGTTCACAAGTTCAGTTGCTTTACTAGCAGTGCCTGGAGAACTGAGCCTTTTTACTTTATAGATATATCAAGGTTCACAACAGATGGTTCACTGAAATTCTTTAATGTATCTCAAGGGACTTCCCTCAGCCTCACCACAGGCTCTCCAGTTAGAGCACTCACTGTCAGTTGAAAGTTCTGTTTGCATACTGCCGTTTACATAAATAGCTCCACTAACTCATTCGATCCGTGAGAACCGGTACAGCTCACCCTTTAACAAAGTCAAGTTTCTCCACTCACTGTGGCACAGTCACTGTTTCAGTCAGTCAGTGAGGGTATTTGCTTTCATCATTGTGGTGTTTATGTCCAGGCACCTGCAACCTGAACCCACTTGCACCTGGTACAACCAAAGCCAGCCAGACACGAACTCTCCGCTAGGTTTGCCATGAATCACATCACAGTGTATAACGAGAGATGCGCTCACCACAATACTTATTTGTCTCACTATTCAGCCTCTACACTGATTACTGTAAAGGCAGTTGTGTTTGGTGGCCTTATCTCAAGACTACATCACCTTTTGTTGAAATAGTTTATATTTACCTCTTTACTCCTGAAGAATTCAAGGTGCATTAACTTTTCTTTGTTTTTAGTTACTTGTGGCCTGTGGAAACAGGCTGTAAAAACAATACTGACATTTAATTTGCTTATTAAGTTGTGAAAAATGGCACCTATTTATACATTCAGCACACATGGAGCAATGTTAGCATTCATTTGGAGTCGTGTTTTTGGCCACCTGTCAGTCCAATGTTCGCTATTCTTTCAGCTCTGTTTTGGTCTCCACCAAACAGAGACCAGCTCTGTTTATGCTCACCAGCTAGTTGCTAATTGTGACTGTTCCAAACAGGTAGTGTATTGTGGGTTTATCAGAGCTTTTATTTTCTAAAAACCTGCCTAATGCAACTGGAATCAGTCCCACCTCTAAAACCAAAACAATAAGCTGAAAGATGTTAAAACGCTTTGTAGAGCTGAGGGAAATTGGAGCGTGGCTGAGAATGATCTGTGGGTTCGTCATTGCAAGCAACCTCTTTCACATTCCAAATGTCATTTGAGCCATTGTTGATATTAAAAAATATTGATTATAGCAGCTTTAAATAAAATTCTCAATACTGTTGAATGCACAGGTTAAAAGTAAAACTTAGCATGTTTATCATAGTTTATGGTCATTTTGGATGCTAAAGTAATTTGATCCAATGGTTTTGTGCTCAGATTTAGATCTGATGGAGTTTTCAGAGCCTGACATCTTCAACTATTCTACGTTGTTGCTGAGTGAGAAAAAGGATGCACTGTATGTGGGAGCCCGGGAGGCCATCTTTGAGCTCAGCAAGAAGAATGTGACAGTCAGAAACAACAAGGTAACAAAATATGAATAAGATTGTGACAACAGAAATAAAATACGTTACAAAATTGTGATATTAAATTTTAACTCATTTCAGGTTCAGTGGACAGTTGCAGAAAACCCTATGATGATGTGCACGCTAAAAGGAAAATCAAAAGAGGTTAGTTCAATAATTCCTATGTTAATGTCGTTTGTCTTAACCTACTCTATATTGTGTCAGAATCACACTTTCTAGTGTTATAAACTAACAGTCTACAATAAAATATGAGAGTATTTTAATTTGTTTATTGAATGTTGCTTCCCAGAGGGATTGTCTGAACTACATTAGAGTGCTCCAAGTTGTAGACGATGAGCGTCTGTACGTCTGCGGCACACACGCCTTTCAACCTCAGTGTGACTACTTGGTAGGTTAATGGCCAATCCCCTCTTAACTGGTAACATCACACTGCACAAATAAACATGTGCCTTGGCTCGCCAATCATCGCAGCAACCTTTAACTGAAATTTAATCTTGAACTCCCTCTTTCAGAACCTCGCAGACTTCTCGTTGGTCGGTCGACCTGAAGACGGCAGGGGGAAGTGCTCCTTTGACCCCTCACAAAGCTTTACTACTGTCATGGTTGGTGAGTTGAGGCCAGTTTTGTTATTTCACAAAGAGCTATTGTGGTTGTCAGCCCTGCAGTAAAATGCATTGTAATCCCCAATAATCTTTTTTTTGGCGGGGGGGGGCAAATGCTGGACAATAAATTGCTTTTTTTTTTTTTTTTTTGTTCTGTGCTTTTCTATCAGACGGAGAGCTGTACTCGGGGACAGTTTATAACTTCTTAGGCAGTGAACCGATTATTTCCAGATACTCTCCATCGCAGTCTCTGCTGAGGACAGAGTACTCCACATCATGGCTCAATGGTGAGTTGGGACAACATGTGAATTGTTACATTGTCGGGAGAGAATTATTTTTTTTTTACAATACAATGAGGTTTTCGCAATAGCAGATCCATTGTCTCTGTCTTCCTTTACTATAATCCCTTTTACCAATACGTTTCTCCCTCTCTCCCTCTCTCTGCTTTCCTTGCAGAGCCCAGTTTTGTTTTTGCCGACGTGATTAGGGAAGGGACAAACAGAGTAGATGGCGAGGATGATAAAATCTACTACTTCTTTACTGAGGTGTCAGTGGAGTATGAATTCTTTGGCAAGCTGCTCATCCCCAGGGTGGCGCGCGTCTGTAAGGTCAGTACACGTCATGTACCATCTGCACATACCAGCAGCATCCCTCTTTAGCCCTTATGTCCCCATTGTCTGTGCATGCATGTCTTTCTCTGTCTAGATCCCTCTTTCTGCCTTCTTCCGTTATCGTGTATGTCTTTCTTTAGCTAACCTGAGCTCATATCATGGTGCAAATCAGTTACACAGTCAGTCATGTTATTCACTGTGTCATTGTGTCTTGCTCTTTCAAGTGCCCAGCCCACATGGACAATAGGTGAAGAAAATACTACTGCAGTAGTGAAACATTTTTCAAACAAAGAACTTGTGTCCCAAGCTTGACAAATAAATCTGTGACAAAACAAGGTTCCCTTCCAAAAACATGCCTTAGCATCAAGACCAAGTTTGAAAAATAAATGTTTTTACCTCACTAATCCTAATCCTCACTAATGTTCCTGTGAAAGTTCATAAAAACGTTATAATGAGAAGCTGTTCAGACATATTCACGGGTAAGTTATACATCATATTCCCATATCACCACCGATGGCCCAAACTGCTGTGAACTCCTGGCAACAATCCAATAGTAATTAACTGTGATACAATTTCTATGTTCCTGAAAAAGCCAAAACTATCATCTGAAACAGGACGCAGGAATAATGATCAATTAATTAAAATCTGATAATGTAAGGAAATTAATTAACGGCGTTTGTATCAACTGTACAGACACTCAAGGGCGTAGGTTTGGTTTCAGGAGGTGGGGGCACAATGACATACAAAAAAACAAAATGTATCAGATTTATCATTTATAAAGCAATGCTAAAGTGGGTAACATTTTTCTAAATATTTAGTTTAAATGGTAGTATAACAAATGTAGAAATGCTATGTAAACCTCTAAACTCCGTATTGTTGATACTGACGTATACAGCCCCAGCAACCTTCATCAATATGGTAGGGTAGCCTGAGAGGCAAAAACCGGGGCAAAAAAAGTCACTGCTGGCACGATTAGTACTGCTTGGGCTTATAGCTTGGAGGTAACAATAATAACTGAAGGTAGCTCAGACGATTGTATCAGCCATTTTGGTCAACAATTCTCTTATCTGGGGTATTTTGACAAGACTTTGGTAAGAAAATCGACTGGAAACAATAAAACTGAGGGACACCCCTTCCCCCACCCCTAATGGAAATTACACACACACTCATCATCACCTGCCATTCCCTCTCCCGCGTCTCGTTTCTTTTCTTTCCACCACTTTTCCTCGGCCCACACGGCCTAATGGGCCTCTCTTCCACAGGGTGACCTCGGGGGGCAGCGCACTCTGCAGAAGAAATGGACGTCCTTCCTGAAAGCTAAGCTGGTGTGCTCCATGCCTGAGCTCAACTTCGTCTTCAACGTAGTACATGATGTCTTCATCCTAAAGGGGGCAGACTTGAGGGACACGGTCATCTATGGGGTCTTCACCTCCCAGTGGTCAGTGTTCTGATGTTGAGCAAAGGATCAGTAGGGGCCAGAAAAGGAGGGGGAAAAAAGTGTAATATTTTGATATAATGCATGGTGCTTAAATTCACTTCTCTATCCTCCCCCACTTCTCTTCCGACTCCATCATCATCCTCATCCCCCAGGGGTAATGTGGGTTTGTCAGCAGTGTGTGCTTACAACATGACAGCTGTGGAAGAGGTCTTCTCTAAGGGCAAGTACATGCAGAAGGCCACAGTGGAGCAGTCCCACACTAAGTGGGTCCGGTACAACGGCATCACTCCTTCTCCGCGTCCAGGAGCAGTAAGTACCTTCAACACTGCACAAATAATTAAGAGTTCAGTTTTGTGTCATGTTTGTTCAAACTTTGTGTAGTCCAGGTCCAGTAAAAGCTTTATTTAGTAACTATGAAACAGACAGAACAACTAATTTTAATCTACACATACAGTGGAGGTGAACATTTTAAAATAAAAATATTTCATGCATTTTTCCCTTCCCTAGTGTATCAACAACCTGATGCGACAGCAGAACATTAGCAGCTCTCTCCACCTGCCAGACAAGACCCTTCAGTTTGTGAAGGACCACCCCCTGCTGGAGGATCCCGTCCTGCCCATTGGCAACGGGCCTCGCCTCATCACCAAAGACGTAAATTACACTCAGATCGTTGTGGAGAGGGTCCGGGCGCTCGACACGAACATTTATGACGTCATCTTCACTGGAACAGGTGAATACACATCAGTTAACACTTAAAATTGTAAATAAGGATGTTTTTATTACATTTAGGTATGTTTTCATTACATAGATTAAATTTAAAGTTGTCAAAGAGGGTTGGACAGATTACATTTTCCAGTTTGAAATAATTGTAAACTTTTTAAAAGCCAACAGCAGAACTCGAGGATGTCTGTTTACAATATTGGTCACCCTTATACAGTTGATTTAGTACATCCTGAATTGTAATACTTATTGTAATATAACTATATATGAGGCTGATATCTGTTTTTCTTTTTCTCCATTCTCATCTTTAGATAAAGGAGTCCTGCACAAGTCAGTGGTGTTTGAAGGAGAAGTGCATATTGTGGAGGAGATCCAGCTCCTGAAGAACTCTGAGTCAATCAAGAACCTGCTGTTGTCCTCTGAGGTCAGTGACTTCCCTGTAACTGTTAGTAACTGTACAAAGACACAGCAGTAACAGAATTAGTAAGTGTCAGACGTGAGACGTGAGAGTCTGCAGTTTATGCATTTTGAGCGTGTTTGTGTGTGTGTGTGTGTTTATTCTGCTGTGAAAGAGAACACAATAGGAAGTTGCTAAGAAGATGGCATGATTGTTAACAGCTAACATGTAGTTCTCTAAATCAGATGAGACTGCATATTTATCATGACTGTGGTGTGTGTTTGTGGTTGGAGTCACGCGGGTACAACTTTTGCAGACAGAATTTT